GGAAAAATTATACTGAAGCCCTTGTGATTTCGAGAAGACTCAAGTTCCCCTAGGATGACCGAACAGATACTAATTTATAGCGCCGCTTAGAATGCATTTTAATAGATTTAAAAGTACTCTGGATAGCCTAAAAAGTGTTTTCAATGTATTTAGGAGAAACCATCGTCGGGTGCCCCTGAAACTTCCCCCGCCGTTAAATTAGGTAAAGGATCGAAGCTCCATTATGTTACGAGCCTCATTATGTTATGAGCTCCATTATCCGTCTTATACGTGCTACTTGACTCACAATTTTGTTATCTCGCGAGAATGAAGTTGCCTCTAAACATAAATGTCTCACCACAGTATTTTTCAGCAGGTATATTTTGAAAAATTAGGTTCACGTTCTACATTATGTAACGTCTGCTACAGCAAAAATAAAAACCGCGAAGACGATGCACTCTGTGTTTGACTGACTCCAGATCGTAATAGCCGAGGAGACTACTCAACACAGTTTTATATGGGGATCAGACTTCGCCCCAAGGACTAACCACTTAACCCTGCACTTACAATTTTTGACAGAAAAGATACCCTTTTGTATACCTTCTATTGGTTGTATTTAAACTAGAGACGGATTATTCGTTGGAAAGTTCGTGTCGGGCAGATAATCGTCTTATATGATTGCACTTATAAGCCTTCCTCTTCACTTATGGGCCCATATCCTGGCTGTAAACGAAAAAAATACATCCGAATATAATCCCCACCGGGTATAATAAGCTCCCCTCTTGCTTGAACTGAATTGATTAGAATTCGATTTTTAATGACGTTTTGAAGCCTTAATTAACGACCAGTAAATTCACAAACATCTATTTTGATCAGCAATGCTACAGCTTATTTCGAAGCGCTTATTCTATGACATCAATAAGTCCCCTCGGATATTAAAAGCCCGTCCGTTTATACCCCTGGTAAAAACCCCTTAAGAAGATGTATAATCCCTCAGCTTATAAGCGACAGTTTATGGTAATAGTTTAAAGGAGCTGTGTCACGAAATTCAGCTAAATTACGAAATTACAAAATGCCCGTTAAATTAAGAGAAACATAAAAATAACGGCTTAAAACTTTAAAGGCAGGTTAAAATATCATAACAGAAACAACAGATGCCACAGATGGGCAAAACTGAAGAAGATTGAAACGGATTGAAATTAGGGTTTTTGAAAACTGTTCAGCCTAACAGTTTTTCAAAGTTGGTCCCTGCTGCTTGCAACTTCAAAAATAATGCTCAGGAGACATATTTGTTTGTCATGGATCTCTGATTTTGTCATTTACATGTAATTTCTTTGCTTACTTTAAGTTCCATAGCGATTGAGGGCGAGTAATTGGCAAAATTAAACAAAATGAACTGAACTGCCGTGACACAGCCCCTTTAATACTAAAGGCGATCCGTTAAGAATGAGCCACATTTAACACGACTGGAAATAACTCGACGTCTGTGGATTCATGGCCGAAAAAAAACTTTTTGCTAAGCTTTTGTTTGTTCTTGTTTTATTTTGTTCTTGTTTTTTTTTTTTTTTTTTTTTTTTTGTGCGAACAATCATCTTAATAACGTCATACCTCTTACACGTATCTAGCAACAACAGGAAGTCTTCTTGTCGTTTTCATGAGGCGTTTAATTAATGAATTTTAATATAATTTTCATTTCAGTGGCTGTAAAATTACCAAATTTGAAAGTGTTACGTCTTAAATGTGCGACGATATAGCTCCGTAAAGTTGCAAAATCTACTGACGTTTGTACGTGATAGGGTTGGTGTCGGGGGGGAGGGACCAAGACTGTCCCCTACCCCCCACCATACAAACGTTTGTAAAATTTCCCGACTTTGAGGCCCAGCTATATCTTCGTTGGTTTTCAACAAATCACTTTCAAACTTGGCAAATTTTCTAATTTCAAGGCATTTTTTTTCTGATGGTGAAAAAAAAAAAAAAGTGGAATGGTCTATCCTGAAAGAGGAACCCTTTTAAGCAGAGCCTCCCCATATAGGTCATTATAGTGAGCCCGCAAAAAAAAAAAAACCCTCCCCGCCTCTCAAGGTATATATAAGAACGGGAATTTAAAAATAGCCCACTAACATTAGACACGTTGAGGCTTGTTTAGCTGGAGTTTAATGGAGCCGCTACTTTTTCTGATATAACAACATAACGTAGCCAACTTGGACTGAAGGCAAAGTATTATTTTTGGCGCACTATAGAGGAAAGGCATCGGGTACCGTTAGAAACGCAAAGTCGTGATAGCATGCATAAAACTTTGTTGCTTTTGTAACAATTTATGTTCTGTAATATATTTTTGGAATGTTAATCTTTTGACCCTGTTTCAGTACTCTGAAGCTGGCTTATAAACAGAGAATAAGAAGATGCAAAAAATTGCCATAAAAGGAAAAACAAACAAACAATATACAGCAAAAGAGGTTTTACTTAAAATATTTGCTACAAAATGAATGGTCACGTTGCAGTGATTTCAAAAAACGCTGTGTTCTCGTTCTATTCTCACCGCCATGGTTCAGTATTTCGCTGTTTTCCTGATTCTCTCTTTTTTTGGCAGCTCTGTGGGAACAACCACCTCACCTCAGCAACGAAACGATTCAAAGTTAAAAGACTTATGCCAGGTAAGAAATGCATAGAGGTATAAAAAAGGAGAATTGCGCCGTAGATTAGGTACACCCAGAAACTGTTTTATTATATACATACTGAGAAATACTCACTAAAAAGCTATGTCGTAATTTTTCGTACGCAAATTAGTTCTAGCCAATCAGAGGAGCGAACGATGGTTTTCACACGTGAAAAAAAATGATACGTCCAATCAGAATCGCGAACGATGTTTTTTCACGTGTGAGAAAAATGATACGTCCAATCAGAAGCCACAGAGGTGTATGAGTTTCGCGCCAAAATTCCCGCCTTTTATTGCAGCTTGCAGCGCCGCTTCGCACACATTCAACGAGAAAAGTTTTACTCAAAGAGTTTTTCTCGCTAAAAAAGTGAAAAACATTTCGGAAATGGAGTGGAATAGTTTCGTTTGTTTCACCGTCGATAAAGAAAACGGTAGAGAGCCGGCGAAACAACAGCGGAAAGGGAAAAACAGAACGAGACGTAAGCTTTTGTTGTGCTTTTTGTCGGAGCTACTTTGCCTTTCATTTAAGCTTAAGCTTATATTGAAACCGGTCATTTTACTTAAATTCACTCATTTTCAATTGTGCATTGAGAACAAACAGTTAAGATTACTTACAGTTCTTGGATTACCTCATATCCTTACCATCATTTAGGTTTTTAACAAACGTTTTTACTCAAAAGCTGATACTTCGTTTTCGTTGTCATTTTGCGGTAAGTGTGTAGCGGCAAAATTTAGCATTTTTGAAAGATTTAAAATAAAAAGGCCGCGAAAATGATGAATGTCTCAGTATGTGTATAATAAACACAATACCACATGGAAAGTGCTTTGTACAGTATTTATGCACTCGTTGTTTTTGTATCAGAAATCTTACTCGTTCGCTGCGCTCACTCGTTCGATTTCTGACACGTCAACAACTCGTGCGTAAATACCGTACGCCAGCACTTTCCATGAAGTATTCTCTATTTACTAGTCTCACGTCGTTATGATCATTTACTAATTAGTACCCGTTACAAGTGTATGGCAGTTTATTTAAAAGTCCTCGCTTCAGCATGATCTTTTCTCGAAAACCTGATGCCTGTCCATTGTTAACTGTTAATTTTCTCTGATTCTATCCAAGCCCATTCGAGACGAGAAAACGCTTTAACTTTAACAGTAGCTAAAAACCTAGGCTTATGGTTTGATGAGCAGCTCACTATGTCAACTCATATTAGCAAGTTTTGTGGTGTTGCCTTTTACCATTTGCATAATATTAAACGCATTCGCAAGTATTTGTCTCGAGAATCAACGGAAATGCTTGTCCATGCATTTATTACATCTCGTGTTGATTATGGTAACAGTCTTTTGTATGGGCTGCCCAACAACCAGCTTAACAAATTGCAGAGAGTTTTGAATGCCTCAGCCAGGCTAGTTTGTAATGCCCCTAAGTTTTGCCACATCTCACCCCTTCTTCGTGGTCTGCATTGGCTTCCTGTTAAAGCCCGGATACAATTTAAGATACTGCTTATTACGTTCAAAGCAATTCACGGCCTTGCTCCTAAATATCTACGCGATTTACTAACATTTAAATCGTCCTTATATAACCTTAGATCTTCAGGCAGTATTTTACAAAGACGTTAGGTGATAGAGCCTCTATGGTAGCAGCGCCACGGCTCTGGAACTCTCTTCCAAAGAACTTCGTACGATTACTAATGTGAACAGTTTTATGGCGCATATTAAGACTTATCTTTTTAGAACTTTATATTGGTGAGCAATTTTATATTCAGTTCTTACTTACATGCATATATATTCTTTTTACTTTTTATTTTTAAATGCATTATCTTTTATTAAATTCTTGTAAAGTAATGCAGTTGTAATGCGCATCTGATCATTCTCGTGTTACTCGTGTTAAGCTGTGCACAATAAGTTCATAAATTATTATTATTATTAAATAGGATTATGACGTCCAAGGTCCATTCCGTGCCTCGAAAACAAGGGAGACGGCTGGCGTGTACAGACTTTGTTCATTTTGATGGGGAATCATTGTTTTCGAGGGAGTTACGGGCGTGTATGAACGTACTAGTTATCGCTTCAATTCCAGATGAGAAGGAAAGAGAAATAATTATGCAAATTCTTTTTCGTTGCTGTTCTTAATCTAAGTAATGGTGACATTCATAATTTCTTGGAGACAAGGTCTGAAGACTGGTGTGGATTTTAAACTCTGAAAACGAGTGTAAAAAATAACGTGTTTTGGTCTGTTATAGAGTCAGGATTTGGGGAACCGGGAGGCACATTCCCACCGAAAATTCCCAGGAGTACATCCCCCCCCTCCCCGAGTCATTTACAATCGTCTCTGCTAATTACGAGTCATCTTTACTTTCAGCGATCTATGCTGGGTTTCCCTGGTATTCCAGGATCAAATGGGATACCGGGAGTGCCGGGCGTCCCGGGGCCACATGGACCCCAGGGAAGAGAAGGTGTAAAAGGACAAATTGGTGATAAAGGATCACATGGAATGCCAGGTCCAAGAGGAGACAGAGGGCGCGAAGGACCCCCTGGGAAGAGTGGACCCCGAGGAATTCAGGGAATGAAAGGTGAACAGGGACTTCTGGGAATTAAAGGAGAGAGAGGCATTGCGGGAATGAAAGGAGAGCAAGGAGCCGTGGGAATGAAAGGAGAGCGAGGCATTGCGGGAATGAAAGGAGTGCGCGGAGCTGTGGGAATGAAAGGAGAGCGAGGCATTGTGGGAATGAAAGGAGTGCGCGGAGCTGTGGGAATGAAAGGAGAGCGAGGCATTGCGGGAATGAAAGGAAGAATAGGAGACAAAGGAGAGAAAGGAGAAAGCGCCAAAGCCAGTCAAGCAAGTGTAGTACCACAAACCAACTGGAAACAATGTGTGTGGAAATCAGGCATCAGTACTGATAACGGAAAGATTAAGGTAATTAGAATAAGATCATAACAAACTCTAAAGGAAAGTAATTCCTCTCTAAATCAAAATATTTCAAAGAAGAACGTCTCCCTTCTCACTCACCATTTGCCAACACATTACATAAATAACTAAGTTTCATTTCTCTCTACTTTGTTTTTTTTTGTACGAAAAAAGGAAAGCCATCTTGGGTGATAAAATGATTCCTGGCCATATGGTTAAGGATAACGAAAATTGAAGCTATTACAGAGTTTTCAAAAATTAGAAAGTAATCTTGACTGGAGTTGTTAGTATTAATCATTACACACGGTTGCTCGCCTTACTACAATATGTTTGATTTGTTTGATTTTTATTCCAGGAATGTGCGTTTAACAAACTGCAGTCTCATTCAGCGCTCAGAGTCTCATTCCAGGGAAACATGAGGGTCGAAGGTACTAGTTCTAAGTGTAATCGCTGGTATTTCAAGTTCAATGGAAATGAATGCAGTGGACCAATGACGATTGAGGCTGTTGTTTACAACTACTGGCCATCTGGGAACCCTAATCTGCTACATCATCGGTCATTTGAGGGATACTGTGAAAACATCCCACAAGGCGCTGTTAGAGTGGAATTATGGGTAGGAAAGTGTACTGGCGTGACCCTGGGTGATGCTCACACTGGGTGGAATTCAGTGTCCCGGATAATGATTGAAGAAGTATCTAGGCCCCAGTCCTAATAAGGGGAGTCCTTAACTTTGGCGCCGTTTTAATTTCCTCAGAATAGCATTCTACAAATATAGACTGTAAAACGCAAGGAAGTTTGGTTATTTTGTTTTAGCCCTATTGTGAACTACTTCCGTCTTATATCAGATTGTCAATAGTAAACTCTAATAACAGTATCATGATTTTGTATTGTTATGTCGTCATGTTAGTCCTGTGCAGCAGCTCTTTGTTTTGTCACGAAGTGCTTCTCTAGCTTGATTGTGGGGAGGCACCTTTCGTGACCACACAATAACCGGCTGAGCCCGTAGGGGATTGGTCTCCGATGCAGCCTGTCTAGTCATGTATCGCTACTTCTCGTTGCTTGACGAGACAAAATGGCCGTGATTAAGAGCGATTGATTGGCGATACTTTTTGTAGATGAAATGTTATGGATGCAAAATGTATCACTACAGCTTTAGGGGAACTCATTCTTTCTCGGGTTACCATGTATACCATCAGATTGTCGGTCGTTTCCTAGGTCTATAATATGTAGTCAAAGTAGAGGTCGTGAAATAATCTTTCATCTCAACGACAAAAAAAAATCTGCGGAAGAGGTAACCGTCGCATTTACAATATTTTCGCCTGGAAAATCTTTAATCCAATCCGAAAGTGAAAACGATTTAATTAAATCGTGCTTAAGTAAATCAAACGGCACGATTCCTTTTGTAGCCAAACCGCTTCGAGGCAAGATCATTATTAAAAGCGGATTAGATTTCGAGGATTAAAATCGCACCTTGTAAAATTTATATCAACTAGCTAGGAAGATGAATACGATGATAGAATAACTTGATAATCTCTAGCATACGTGGCAAACGTTCAAAAGGTAGCGGGAGAAGGGAATGTAAGAGCGAGACCACGCGCGAGGGAGAAGCGAGAAGAGGAACACGTTCTCCTTCCTCATTCCTCGCGCGCCCTTCCCGCTTCTCACGCACCCAAAATCTCCTTTTCCTTCCCTTTGGAACGCCTGGCACGCAGGCTAGATTATCTCTCAAACAGTGGGAAAATGGAATGTTTTTATTCGTAACGTTGAGATTCTTGTCAAACCTTCGCATTACCTTAATTAATAGCATCTTTGTTTTATTTCTTGCATGTCAGTTTAGTTTGCTTCAATCTTTCATTCATTACTGAATTATTTAAAGCTTTTAATCATTGTTTCAATAAAAGACAGTGTCTTACAGTATGTACAAATCTTGTCCATTATTTTTCTTAAAAAACAAGATCGAAGCCCTTATGTCCGCTCCTTAACAGAGAGATTCCCGCTAAGTCTCACAATATCGATCTATCCAATGCAACTATCGTAAAATTCCGAAAATAAGCCACTCCATGTATAAGCCCCTCCAAATATAAGCCCCCAAAACTCGTAACACAAAAAAAAACCCTCCGCTAAATCGCCCCTCCAGATATAAGCCCCCCGGGGACTTATACTTGGAAATTGCCCTCAAATACAAAGGAACTAACTATAAGGCTAGCCCAATCGATTTTGAAACGCAAATTTGCCTCCGTAGATAAGCCCCTCCAAAAATAAGCCCCTCAAAAAGGGCCTTTGAAAAACATAAGCCCCGGGACTTATTTTCGGAATTTTACGGTATTTGCAGCCTTGCCTGTACGAAGGCATTTATGAAGAAAGAAGTAACTTGAAGTTCCCAGAGTTTCTTAACTTAGAAAATTATCATTATTAATTATTCCAAAGTTTAACTATTTTATCCTTTTCTGTGTTTTTTTATGGTTTCCTTGAAAATACTGACACTTTTGTCTTAGCCTGATAGCAACTGATCACCCTTGGAGAGTTATCTTTTCTAGCATCCTAACCGAAAAAAACGTTTCCTCGATGTTTCAGCCGAAGGTGAACTAATAAAAGGTTAGAATAGCCCCCCCCCAAAAAAACAAACAAACAAAAAAAGGCACCTATAATAATAATAATAATAATAATAATAATTCATTCCCTTGGAGAGTTATCTTTTCTACAGCATCCTAACCGATAAAAAAAGGCTCCTATAATAAAAAGTACAAACGTAAAACAAGTGTCGACCCTGCACCATCCCATAGGAACTCCATTGATTTTGTATTTGGGTCAGAAGATACTAAGACGTTGGCGAACAGGACGTTATCGAAGCGAATCATGAGGCCAAACTTTTCATGAGCCGAACCTGGTACATTGAATAAAGTACTTGAAAAGATCGGCTTCATGAATCAATTAGGAACGCCACAGGTAGCCCAAGCTTACTATGAGAACAACATTATCCTACTTAGCTAATTAATTATTCATACGACAACAGTTATAAGACGTTGTATGAAAATTATCCGATTTCTCCATAATTGAGCGAAACGTACATTAAATTTTTCCTTTTAGTAGTTTGTTACATTTATTTGTGTGTTGACTGCGTTTCAGGCCTTTTAGGATGCCAAGAACCCTAAAACAACACTACCCATCAAGCTAATTAATTATTCATACAGCAAGAAAATTATAAGACGTTGTATAGAGAAATATTCTTCGCTCACTAAATTAGCAAAACGTACATCGAATATCGCTTTGAAGCTTACCGTTAGCGTCTCCTTGTTTTTCTTTGTATTCTGACTGCATTTCAGACCTCCTAGGCACTGTTTAATGCCTTTTTTTGAGCGACAGTTTTTCACCCAGGTGACAGTAGAGAAAAGAGAAGAGAAGGTTGGCAAACCTCTCTTGACCGGCTCTCGCTCTCGATAAATTCCGTAACATTTGCGACATGAAGACAATTCCTCTAGAAACAGATGTCCTGATAAATGCCGCACATTTTCCATCATTCACATCGCCAAAATTCCCATTTCGAAGGTGGACAATACACGGCCGTGGCTAGGCGAGTCGAGAGCAGACCCGCAACGGACTCCAACCGTCAAGTCGACAATTTCAAACCGACGCGGGCTGGCAGGGTCAAATCGTTCAACCGTCAAAGGACAATTGGAGCATTTAGCCTACTGGGCACAGTAACTGATGCTTCATTTCTCTCATTGCACTCCGGAGTCACGCAGTTATGCATCTTACCTTTCTGTCATGATTAATACAGTAGTATCGTCAACAAATCCAACCAATAAGAAAAATAGCTATTACAATTTGAATTCACTTTCAGAAATAGTTTGCTTGCGCTGTAAGCAGCTGATGTATAATTTGCTCTTAAAATCGGTTTTGCTAATTTGGCAGAATTACCGAGGGAACATTGAATGAAATATTTTATTTACATATTTCCTGTCCGTAAAAAACACTCCCAGTAGATAAGAGCACCTGAGAAGTTCCTGTCCCAGACCAAGGAAATTAAATGTCGTCGCCTGGCGTGGTAAGTGTTTCCTTGTAGGTGTTTGCACGTAGCTAGAAATGTGACATGTCACATTGGTTGCATCTTATAGATAGTAAGCTTGGGCTACCTGAGGGAACGCCTGGTTCAATTTGACACAGCTCAGCCGTTTTTTTCGCCAAGCCTGGCTGGGAATTTCGCCTTTGGAGCGACTTTGGAACGGCTTTGAATCAGACGCAGAACTTTTATGTATCGAACCTAAAGCATAAATTATTTTACGTATTTTGTAAGCACTTTGACCGAAATGAGCATTTTTAGCCTTTTGAACTAAGTTCAGCCGAAATTAAGGTCGGCGTGTTTGAAATCAATTCAGCTGGTCTAAGTAATTGGGTCGGCCTCAATTCGAATTAGGTTCGGCTCATGAAAAGTTCGGCGTCTGAACCGGGCCTAAGACGGTCCCTTTAGTCGCATCCGACTGTGTCTGTGCGCCGTTAACTGTATTGTAGCAGTGTTTAATTAATTTTGTTAGATGTATCATGTATAAACTCACAATACTTTCTACACTACAAACAGAACTCGGGGGAGGGGGGTACTTCCTTATAAGAGGCTGATGGGGATGTGACGCTGGATGGGGTCGCATTTTCACAACTGGATTGGCTACAATGAGGTCGCATTTTCAATATATTTACTAGAATGGGTTCGCACATTTTCGGATTTTTTGGGGTAAAACGTCTTCACAATAACGGGTAGCAAACGCACCATGATGTTTGTACTGCAGGTGAAAATTAAAGTGTTCTTCATTCGGTTAAAAAAAAAAAAAAAAGAGAAAAAGAAAAAAAGAAAATGGGTCAGTTCATAAAAATAGAAAGTGGCTAAGTCGGGATCTCAAAAAAATACATATTTGCCCAAAAGTGACCAAGATGGGGTCTATAATTGGTCACAAAATAGACTATAATGAGGTAGGGGTTCTGAGAGGCCAGTAGCACATACCCAGCAAAAATTTACCCAAGTACCCTCCCTCCGGGAAACAGAACCTTAAATGTATCATTCGTTATAATATTGAATGTTGCAGAAAGTACATTGGTCAAATATATACAGATAGTCTTGTCCATGATGAAAAAGTTCTTAAATTACTGGTTGACACTATTGGTCAGGTAAAGAGTTCAGTGACTTTTTGGTTATGATCCATTTCAGTAATAAACGGTGAAATTTATGCAAGCAAAAATTAACAAGACGTGTACTGAAAATGGGTTATGTCACGCTATTTTCTATCGCTTGTCTTTGCATCAATTGAATTCTAAAAATAATGGTCCAGGTTTGTTATTTCAGACTATATTCTGTTTCCTGTCGTCTGTTTCTAGGAACGGCAAGGATGTACGTGGATTGAAACTTAGTTTCGATGCCATTCCAGCAAAAATCACTAGAGAAGTATTCTCGTTAGTGCTCTCTGATGAAATTTGTTTGATTTATATTTTCTTCAAAGCTAAAGGAACATTTTTGTGCATAGGTAAAAGTACTAAGTAACGACTTCAGCACAGAATTGGCCTAAAACAGTAATAACCCGATGACCATGACGTAGCCCCTTTAATAAATAGACAAAATGTGGCATATCAATGGGATGTAAAATGACTCAACCCTTTTAATAAGTCATAAGACTGACCAACGTGAACTTTCTCCTAACAATATCAGCATAATCAAGGGAAATGGTT